TGATCGCTTACTGGTTGAGGAGTTGCATTGACAATTTATAGGCAGGAAGTTCAACCTACCAGATACTCCACAGGAAAAAAAGATGGACAGTCTCCTCCCATGAAATTCACAGCCTCTGAAAACCAGCTGCAGGGTCCGCTGAGTCGGTTCCAACTCAACGGCACAAACAACAGAATTTATGTATTTAAAGGGTAGGTTTAGGAGAGTTAAGTAATTTGGCCATCATCATCTAAACAGTCATCTGACAGAAGAAGAATCAGTGCCTTTGAATTGTGGTGCTAGAGAAGAGTCTTGAACATACCATGGATCGCAAAGAGAACAAATGGGTCTTTCCTGGAGAGGGTGAAACCAAGCGTCTCATTATAGGCAAGAATTTTGAAGCTCCATCTCACTTACTTTGGCCATGTGGCTGAGGGGACCAGACTTTTAAGGAAGACATCATACTTGGAAGGATGGAGGGACAGTGCAAGAGAGGAAGACCCAGATGAGATGGATTGACTTAGTAACTGGGATAATGGGAGTAGGTGTGTCAGAGACGGTGAGGCTGGCTCAGAATGGGGCAGAGTTCAGAGATGTTGTACACAGAGGCCGTATGAGTCACAGGCAACTTGATTGCACATAACAGTAACACCATCTAACCAGTGAGAGATGGATGTAACCTATAAACCAATGAGTACTTGGTACCATCTCATCGAGATTCTTCCTCTCCTGTGCTGTCCCTCTACTCTCCCAAACACGTCATCCCTTTCCAAGGACATGAAGTTGGCACAGGATAGAGCAGCATTTAGAACTCTTGTACAAAGGTTCGCTATGAGTCTCAAGCGACTCGACAACACATAACAGCAACTTGGTACAAACCCCATTTCTTTTCATTATACTGGGACTTGGATTTTCATTAAAAAAAAAAGAAGAAGAACAAGAATTAAGAGATTAGGAAAAAAGTCCCCATAAAAATGTTAGTTCCGTGAAACTGGAAATCTTGTTCACCACTTCTTCTTTGTTGTTGAGAATCTGGAAAGTTGCCAGCCATGTGGTAGCTGTTGCTGTTAGTTGAGGCTGAGTCAGCCCTCGGCTCACGATGACCCACACTTGCTGAGAGGACCCACTGTGCCCAGCTCCTGCACCACCTTTAACCCTGGTTTAACACTTAGCGGGTCTGTGTGAGCCACAGAGTTCTTATGGGGTGATTTTAGCAAGTGGGTGCCAGGCCTTTCTTCCTGCTCCGTTTTTGTCTGGAAGCTGCATCGAAACTGTTGAGTATCACAGTGACATTAAAGTCTTCACTGACCAGTGACCGTGCGTGATGTGGGCGTGCTTGACACTGACCTCCCGTCTCCTGCATGGAAGATGGTGAGTCTGGTTGATGATAACTGTGAGGTTGGAGAGGAAGACAGAGAGGCTTTGATTCGAGCATGGAAAAGCTTGCTTACAGAAGCTGATGAGTATGGAGCGGGCTAAGTCAAGAGGGGGAAGTTGTGTTTGATTCCATTTGTTTTAAATTAGCCTATGTCCTGATACAGGCCAGCCATGCTTGCTTGATATAGACTAATTTTTATCGACTTGAATTGTCTGTATTAAACACCTGGAGACTTCTCTGAGAAGCACTCTCACTCAGCAGATCTAGAGTAGGCCCCCAGGGCTGCATTTATATCAGATTTTCATGTAGGGACAGTGGTGCTGGTCCTCGGTCTGGACCGTCCAGCGATAGTACTGGATATTCAGAGGGGGAACAGGCATGGGTGACTTTATCCTCTTCCCTCTGAGGACCTTCTCTAGTCCTGGGTTTGGCAGGAATGAGGTGAGGGTGGAGTCTCTGGGTGAAGCACTCGCTATTCATGGAGCAATTGGTGTTTCCAGCCCAACCTCTGAGGCCTCAGGGAAATGCTGGTGATCTGTCCTCAGCAGTCGGCCTCTGATCTCTGTGTGGGTGCAGTTTTAATCTGAAACATGAAGAGTTGCTGACAGTTATATTTGAATTGATGAATTGGTGCATTTTTGTTGGTTTCTTTTTTGTTCATTTTGTTTTGTTTGGTGAAGGCCTTTTAAGAAGTGGTTTGACTTCAGCATTCTAGAAGCAGAGTTAAAGTTAAAATAGAAGTAAGGGTGATCCAAAATGTGTCTTGCAAAATAAAGACCCACCCTCAAGGGTACCATCAGAGAATTGTTTACAACAAAGCAAAACAAAAACCAGCGGGAGGAAGTTCCGGCTTGTTCCATTCCTTTCTGGTTTTGCTCTTTTAAGTTCAGAACAAAAGAATTGAGCCTTACATTGTATTGTGGGTCTTTTTTTCTCCCTTTTAATTTTGTGTTTACTGTGCTCTCAGTCGAATTGTTACTTTTTAGCTGGGAGGCTACTCTGTCAAAGACAAATCAAGACATGAAATGAGTAAATGATAAAATGTATTGAGCACTGAGGATTAAATGTATAAATGTACTAGTTTTTATAGTCCTTAAGGAGTCGAGTTGCTAATTTCAAAGCCTGAGGTCTCTGACTGTTCAGACCCACCTGCTGCTTGTGAGAGGAAGATGGACAGTCTCCTGCTGAGTGATTTACAGCCTCAGAATCCCAGTGCAAGGCTAGCGGAGTCAGTTTTGACTCAATGGCAATGAATTGGGTTGTTTTATCATCATTAAAATAGCCACTGCCTTTGAGTTAATTGAGATTCATTGCAGCCCTCATCAGGCTTCTCACAGTGGATATTTTTACAGGAGGAGGCTATCCATCTTTCTCCCTTGGAACAGCTGGTGGATTCAAACCACTAGCTTTCTGACTGGTAGACAGACACGCTAAGTGCTGTGGTACCAGCTCTGGTGACCTAGTTGTAGGTGTTTCATTGCTTCCTGAAAGGCTGTGTATGTGGTGAGGAAAATTCTCTGCTGCTCGCTGGGAGAAAGAAGAGCCAGTCTTCTCTCGTTGAGTCGTACAGAGACCCCAATGCAATGTCTCTTTGAATTGGAACTTCCTTGACAGTAGTGAGTTCGATTCTTTCTCATCACTGAAAGCTAATTATATTTTATATACAAAAATTGACCAGCATGGTCGGTGAAGTATAATGATGAACATCTATAAGTCCACGACTCAGTTTGAGAAATGAAATCTTTTCCCTGTTCTTCCCCCACACTTTCTACTCTTTCCACGAGAAATGTCTGATCTCTTGGGTTGTTCTTTACCATTTTCACCTAATTTAAAGTACGATTACTACATAATGAATATGTCTAAAACCATTATATTAATGATATTATGTTCACTTTAATTTGCTTTCATACTGTTTTTCATAAGAGATGTGTAAGATTTCTCTGCTTTAAAAAATTCATCCATTTTTACAGCTATATCCACTTTATTCCACCTTATTTATTTTCATGTTGGAGGTAATTTTTACATTATGAAACTCTTTAAGTTGTATATAAAATTTACATGTTATTAAATATTTTCCAAAGAAATACAGCTGTTTTTAGATAGCCTTTGCCATATGTGAAGAACTGGACTAAAATGCAAATACATTTTAAATGTGATCCAGCCAATTAAGAGTTTATAACAATTGACAACTCATTCAATTTCTACTTTTTTGAATCTCCATCAATAAAATGGGGATTCTGTTAGCTATTGTGCATATACTTTTCAAGATCATTTTAATCTGAGAGTAATTGTGAGGAACATTGTGGTAAAACTTTAAGTAAGTGACGGGAATATGAATTTTTTGTAAGAATGTGGACTTTCAGAGGTGGTGGTTGTTATGTACCACTGAGTCAGGACCAACTCACAGCTGATCCTCCAGCATGTTTTCAGAGGCAGTCAGTCTTTCTACTGTGAAGCAGCTGGTGGATTTGAACGGCTTGTCTTTAGGTTGGCAGTGCAACTCCTTCCCACTAAGCCACCAGAGCTGTCTTTGTGGACGGAGATGCCCTAAGGTACACAGTAACTGTGCTCTTGAGATTGTTGGAAAAGAACAGATTTTTTTTTCAGTAGTGACATCTGTTGTTGTTGTTGTTGAGTGCTGTTGAGTCTTAGGCGACTCATAGCGACCCTATGAACGAAAGTCCTCAACACTTGAGTGACATTCATCCTTTCCCCAGGTTCATAGGGTTTCCGGAGGCAAGCTATTACGGAAGTGGATGCTCCACCAAACACTGTCCACCATGGTTAACCATTCAGGCATTTGACACAGCAGTGTCACAATGTTCAGCTTCACAGCAACCACAAGTTACTGCCCTATGGCAAGTGGACACACCAGGGCTATATGACCTAGAAGAATGTTTGAACAAATACAATGAGAAACAGGCCTGAGGGCCGTGGATTAGAGTCACCCACCTTTGGCTTGGTAGCATCACTTTCCACTAGGGCAGCTGATAACTCTCTATATTGATGTTATTGTTAAGTGCCGTCTACTTTGATAAAGAAAGTATATTTACTATTTTAAAACTTCTGGAAAAACTTTACTTTTAAAAAACAGCTTCTTCTTCCCATTTTTCCCCCTTGGGGATCTAATCAGCAAGTATGTTGCATTTTCCAACCTCTGGATAGTTTTTCGACTCACAGAGATGCCTCGGAACGGTGGGGAGAGCCTTGGGGATAACCATTTACCCAGACAGATTTTCCACTTAACTAATTAAATGTGCTTAGTCACTCCAGATAAATCAGAGACAAATGGGCTTCGCCCTTCACTGTTGGTAAGAGATCGGCCCAAAGTGTGGTGTAACTGCTGTAACCTTGTACTTGATCTTCCCTTCTGTGTACCTTGCCTGTTTTCCATCCAGTGAACAAGCAAACTCATTCTCAGCTCTTCTGACAAGCGTCTTAAAAACGTTTGACTTCTAGATGTGTACTTTAACCTTTTGCTTTTGATAAACATGTGATTGTATTTGATCTTCCATCATGTAACTCTTGCATAATGTATATATTATCTTTTATTAATAAGAAGAATCATGCTGAAAGTGGATGTGATACAGTTTGTAAAAATATACTGAGAAGGGGGAAAAAATCCTTGTAATTTGTTTTACAGATGGCAGCTGAATGGAAGTGATATTGATCTGAGTTTGGACTATCGTTATAAACTGAACGGTGGAAATCTTGTGGTTATGAATCCCAGCAGAAATTGGGACATAGGAAGCTACCAATGCTTTGCAACAAACTTGCATGGAACTGTTGTCAGCAGAGAAGCTAAACTCCAGTTTGCCTGTAAGTTTATGTCCACACATCTAGAAATATCAATGTTTTTAAAATATGTAACTTATGCATGTGATCATATTGAATTTTTGAAACAGTGCCTGTGCTATATTAACATAAAAAAAGAGTTTTGTTGTGTTTCTGTGTTTTCGGTTTTAATTTTACTTATTTTATTTTCATGTACTTTCGAATCGGATCCGACTGGCACAGGAGGCGATTGCCTCTCCATCTCCAGCAGACCATCTGGTGGATTTGAACCTTGCACCTTTGGTATTGCAGTGCAGCTTTTTTGCAACTAGTAAAGAGTTTTTTAAAAATAGGTTGCAAAAGAAATTCAGTAGGCTTGGTTTTGATTTCTTTATAATGCATGGATCAGAGAGTGTGTGTGTGTGTGTGTGTGTGTGTGTGTGTGTGCGCGCGCGCGCGCGCGCACGCATGCACACGCTGTATTTTATTACTTTCTTGAGTTCTGTTTCAAGGAGGAGGGAGCTCTGGTGGCGTGGTCTGTGGGTGATGCACTGCTGACCACAAGGCGGGGCTTTTGGGTTCAAATCTACAAACTGTCCTTGGGGGGGAAATGGCCAGTTTCCTCCCACAGGACTTCGAGCTGTGGGTACCTGGTGGAGAATCACCTAGAGTCAGAGAGAGAAACTGGTTACAGACATGTTTATAGAGCAGCTGGTGCACATTGTTCTGTGTTAAAACTGGAAAGAATATAAACAAACTGTGAGATATGCTCTTTGTCCGTGAGGAATATTCAAGTTAGGGTATTTTATCTGGAACAAGTTAAGGACGGAAGAGTGCAAAGGCATATAATATGACACTGTTGACCTCCTTTAGACACTGCCCAACTCCAGAGTCGGTGGGTTCCTCCCCTCAGGTAAGCCCAGGGTCTTGAAGTCCTGTTTGTGTTCTGCTGATTGAACCAAGGTGAACACTGAGCAACCTGAGAAATTCCTGTTCTCGCTGCAGAAAAATTGGAAGAAGACCAGAGGACTAAAGTGATCTTTCTTCAAGATGAGTCAGTCCCCTCTAGAACTTTCTAGTAACCTCAGAGGTCTGTTGGAGGATCGCCAGGTGATGGGCTGAATCTATTGTTGTTGTTATGTGCCATCGAGTCGCTTGCGACTCATAGCGACCCTATGTACAACAGCCCTAAACTCCGCTCTGTCCTGTGCGAATCGCACTGTCTCTGACACTCCCATCCTGATTATCCCAGTCACTGAATCAATCCACCTCATAGAGGGCCTTCCTCTCCTGCGCCGTCCCTCCACCCTCCCAAGCATGATGTCCTTCTCCAACGACCCGTCTCTCCTTACAACATGTCCAAAGTATGGGCTGAATCTATAGAAGTGTTTTAACCTTTTTTTAAAAAAATAACTTTATAAATAAATTAATAAAAAACCAACTTTATATGCATTCAAATTTTTTTCAATTGCCTTGTGTATATTATTTGGTTAGCCAGACTTACACATCTCCTGGAAAGTGCTGACAGTGTGCTCCTTAGAAAAGAGCCCGGGAAAGCTTCATCTCTCATACTCTGGGCATGCTGCTAGGAAAGGCTGTCCTTGGAAGGCTGAGGGTGCGGCAGGGATCAGCAAAGCAGGGGAAGCCCCTCAAAAAGGTGGATTGACACAGTGACTGTAACAACGGGTTCCCCTGTATCTTAGATAGTCCGGATGGCACAGGATAGGACAGGGTTCACATCTGTCATTCCCAGGGTCACTATGAGTTATACTCAACTTCAACAGCATCTAACAACAACATGCTTATATTGTAGAGGCTTTCACTCTCCATTTTAAAGTTTACTTGCTTCTTTACACGTCCTTATACTTCATAATCTTGATGATCTCAGGGTTGTTTATTTGACTTGTTATTGTGTCATTTTCTATATAGTATGTATAAAGCTGGTATTATTGTCCATATGTAATGTTTTCACCATGAATAATTTTATACATACTTCTAGTTCTTTTCTAATGTGAACTGGGTGAAGGTTTACAGATAAGTTTTCCACCCGCCATTTCTACACGTCGGGTTTCACATTAGTGGGTGCGTGCTCATATCCCTTCCCCACCCCCCAATCCCGTTCATCCCATTTCCAACCTTTGTTCCTTGGGAACGTGGCTCTTAGGCAGTGCTGTCCTTTTGATCTCGAATGTCAGGATCGCTTACCTCCCTGGTGTTGGGCACCACCTCATTCTACCTCTTGTTTGGCTGAAAACTGAACCACGGGAGTGAATTCAGTCCCAGGCTTGAAAGGTGTTGATAAGAGCTTAATAAGGTATTAATAAGTAGTCTCAGGTTTTCAGCCAGTCCCTGTCTCACCAGTAAACGGATTCCTTTTTTTATGTGCTGAGTTTCCTTCCACATTCGGCCCCACTGTGTCAGACCTTCTGATGTGATCAGTTGCATAGCGGTCCGTATTGGTAGGGCTGCACCATCTAGATTTTCTAGGCTCGGGTTGGCAGGGCTGAGGTTTGCCTGGTCACTTACTGTTTGGACTAATTGTGTCCACGTCTTTGATTGTCTTTGCTCTTCTTTACTCCATAGTGGAAAGGTAGAGGGTGTACAAAGGAAGGGAAGACCGTCAGCAATGTGGCTTGAGACTGTGAGGGCAGCGATCGCCGCAGTGTGTCCAGGACGACAGGATAGTACAGGACAGGACAGCGTTCAGATCTGTTGTTCCAAGTGTAGCTGTGAGCCGTCCTTGACTCAATGGCCCCTAACAGAAACAGTGGCTCCGGGGGTGGAGTCTTAAGCGAGCTGATCTGCTAGAGAATTTACTTCTCTGCTCGACCAGATGTGCCCGTGCCTCTGGGAAAGAGAGATGATTGGTCTCCTTGTGTAGTTTATGGCCTCAGAACCTGATGGGGGTCACTAGGGGTCAGAACCAATTTGAAAGCAATAATTTGGAGTTAATAGCTAATATCAGAAACATATCTCCCTGTGTGTGTGTTCGCTTCTTGAATGCCTGCGTTGGGGAAGCGTCTGTCCCCATCCCTTTGACCTATTTTGCAATTGGATTATTTATTCTTTTATAGTTGATGTGCTGAATCTTTCTATAGATTTTTCAAACTAGCCCTTTGTCAGATATACCATTGCCAAATTTTTTTCCCAACTACCTATTATCATTTTTCTGTTTTTGTCAAAATATTTTTATTATATGATTTCTAATTGACAAAATCTTCTTGTATGTCAGCTACCAGACCTCTTAGAATGACCTGTCTTCAGTTCTCTATTTTTACAAAAATATTACTCCATTTTTAAGCAGTTGCTTACTGGAAACTTTCTCCAAATACATATTATTATT